ACACTCTGCTTTCTGGTTAAGTAGGACAAAAATCTCTCTCACCTCTAATTTTTTGCCATATTTCTTTACCATACATATATTTAAAGAACTGAGCATGTCAGAGTCCTATTCTGCCCTGCCACCTGTAGTCTGTGTACCTAACTCCTCCATTGTTCAGTCAGTGTCACACCTGCCAGATTGTTCTGTGTGACAGCCCTTTGAATACATCCAGATGGCATCTTGTTCCTCACTTATTTGGCACATACTTGAAGAATACCTGTCAGGGTCTTCAGATGCCCCCTCACTATCCTGAACACTTTCTTTTGAACATACTCCAGGTTGAAGCTGTCTGTCTCTAATTTGGCCCTTAAACTGAACACAATCTACTTATTCATTCAACAGAATTGAGTATTGATGTGGTAGGTACTGTACTATGTGTAGAGATGCAGCAGTGAACAAAATAAGAATATCCTTGCCTTCAAAGAGCTTTCATTCTGATGAGGGAGGCAGACATTAAACAAGATAATTAGGTGAATGTACTAGTATTATTTAGATAGTGATGAATGTGAAAGAGACAAAAATTAAGCAGGAAATGTGCCAGTGATGGTCTTCTCAGCACAAAATTCACTGTTTAGTCTTCTTTCAGATGACCCACGATCACGTTAGAGTAACTGCTAATTCATAATTAGTTTGTGGTCAACTAAAGCCTCCAGGGTTTCCCCTCCCCACCTCCCAAAAAATGAAATTTTTTTTTCTCTAATTCTGTGTTTTGAACTTAAGGAAAGAACTAAGAATTTATCTTGTTAGATTGTTTTTAACTTTGAGACATTTATATCACCGAACCAAGACTTCTTTAAATATTCATTCTCTTAGCCAGTGTATTTGCAACTGCTTCTTTGCTATGTAACTGACCATGTTTCACTGACCCTAAATGCCACTGATTGTAAAATATCATTACTTTATGTACCACTAAAAAAGAAAAAGATACCAGTTAAGCTATGACTTACTCTTTTCTTATCATTTAGTAGTTTTATTTTTACCAATGGCAAAAGCTCTTTTTGACATTTTAAAAATAAAGTTTTCCTTCTATATCTCTCCTACATACATAAAAACAGAAAATTAAGTAAAATATAGTCCTAAAACTTCTTCACACTTGGGATCTGATTCTTCTGAATCCCTTTCAGACTCAGAAACCTCATGTCCCCATTTTTCCACATGATTTTCTCCTCTGGGCTGTCAAGAGTATGGGCAATGCCACATTTCTTAAAAGAGTCCTGGAGTTTTCTTCCAGCACCTGACACACAGTCTGCAAGTTTGAGATTGGAGCTTTTTGATATTGCCAGAGGTTACTGATGGAAAGATTTCAGTCAACAACCAGGACTCATACTTTTTCCACGAGTAATCCTTGAGCGATTTGTTGACTGAAACCTCAAGCCCTCTTGGTTAACTAGTCATGGCCTGTGCAAAAACAACCAGCTTCCCACAGGAAGTGAAACCCACTGTAGTTATCACCTGACCTACAGTAGAGGTTAAAATGCCAGGAGAGATTTCTAAGCCAAGGCATATCCCATATTCTTGTATTACATTTTTTTCTTTTTTTGTTATCATTAATCTACAATTACATGAGCAACATTATGTTTACTAGACTCCTGCCATAACCAAGTCCCCCGCCCACAAACCCCATTACAGTCACTGTCCATCAGCGTAGTAAGATACTTTAGAATCACTACTTGTCTTCTCTACTGTACAAACCTCCCCGTGCCCCCCACCCTCTATATTATGTCTGATAATCTTAATTTGTATTACATTTTACAAAGGCAAACTTTCACAAAAATGAAATGCTCATCTCCACTCATATTTTTTTCAGTTACCAGCTACAATCTTTTTTTGTTTCATTTTTGTCAAGTAAATAGTATTTTTTTCAGTAAACTTTAAAGTTCCTTACATCTTCATGAATTTTTAAGTTTTCGTTTTGCAATCTGCCTTGCTAAGAAAATCATATAAAATTACTGGGAAAGTGTTGAAGTTCCTTATTTTTCTGGCATGACTTTTGAGGAAGAAGGCATAGCACACATTTTTTAACCAATAAACCAGATGCCATTATACTCTTTAAAAATCTTTGATCTACACATACAACCTAAAACTAGAAAAATCCTAAAAGGAAACCAAGGGGGAAAGCTTTATGACATTTGATTTGGCAAAGATTTCTGGTTATAACACCAAAAGAATAGGCAACAAAAGCAAAAACAGATAAATGGGACTACATCAAATGTAAGAAATTCTGTACATCAAAGGACACAATGAACAGAGAAGAAAGTCAATTCTATGGAATGGGAGAAAACACAATACCCAGAATAAACACAGTACTTCTACAACTCCACAATGACAAAAAAAAATTTTTTTAATGGACAAAGGGCTTGAATGGACATTTCTCCAAAAATGATATACAAATGGCCAACAAGCATAGGAAAAGATGCTCAACATCACTAATCATTAGAGAAATGCAAATCAAACCACAATGAAATATCACTTCACACCCACTAGGATGGCTACTATCAAAACAACAGAAAACAAGTGTTGACAAGAATGTAGGGAAACCGGAATACTTGTGCACAATAGATAGGAATGTAAAATAGTATGAGAGAAGCAAGGCCAGCAGGATCCAGAACCTTGTCCAAGCCAGCAAGCTCATTCTTTGTGTGTGACACAGTCCTCTCCCAAGTTTCTGGATTTCATTCCAGCATTGAGTTAATTACACCCAATGTAGCTCCACTTCTCATTACTTTTTACCTTGTTTTTATGTGTTTTTTCTCACTGTAATATTATTAACTTAAAGAACATAAAGTGGGTCTGAAGCTAGAGCCTTACAAAGTGAGTAAGACCTTTAACTCTACTGGGTTGGATTCTCGCTAGGTTCCTGATTCCCCTCACCTATATGATCAGAAGAGCAACAATTCCACAACAGTGCTTCTATGTTCTTTCTCTGTTGTGTCTCTCCCTTAAGGTCTAGATAACCAGTATGATTGTTTCTTAACTTACTAACTTAACTTTTTTATTTCCACTAGCTAACTGTGATAGTTTTCCCCCCTTTATGCAATAATTTCACCTTTTAATTCCACTTATGAACAGTGTTTCTGACTTAACATAATGACCTAAGAAAAATGCTAGAAAGAAAATAGAGGTAGATTCCCTGCCCTTAAAAGAATTCTCAGTCTAACAGCAGAGACAAGTGTATGAACTAGTAACTATAATACCATCTGATAAGGGACCTTGTAGAATGCCCAGCACAGAGGAAGTACAATCAACTCAGGCTCAGGGAACAGGAAGGGAAATGAAGACCTGGTGCTATGAAGCAGTGTGCCAGGTTTAGGAGCTCCAGTTCTTCAGGCCTTCTGAAGCAAGACATAGAGGAGAAGGGTGACAAGAGTGAAGTCTGAGTAAGAAGGCAGAGGGCAGACTACAGAGATTCCCTTGTATTATGCAAAAGTAGTTCCCTTTTCTACAATAAGCAATGACATCTGTTAGAAGGCAGAAATTTTTTTTAAAAATTTTCCAGAGTCAATATATAGTTCTAAAAGTAAATTTAGGTTATGTTTCATTCCTTAGTCTTAAGAGTTTATTCTATAAAATAGACTCCTTTGTTTATAAATCAGGGTTGGTAGTTAAAATACTAAAAAAAGTAAAACCAAATGAATCATGGTGTGATTGCCACATAACCAGGCAGAACTGAGCCCTTTTATAATGAAACCCAGCTGTTTCTTCAAAGTCCAGGATCATTCTCTTTGTTTTTATTCCTTTCATAATGATGAAGAAAGTATATGTGATGAGATTAGTTTAAATCCAGAGGATGAAAATTTGAGGAAATGGATTATCCTGGTGTATATAACTTTTCTACCAAGTGCTTTATTTTCATTTGAGAAGTTGGGGTAAATACCCACTGCTGGTGGATTTCTGTTCCATCACGTGGATACTAATGCAGGAGGAGGTGGGGATTTCCTCTGACCCTTCTTCCTTGTCTGCTTCTTAACCTCCTGTCTGCGTTCAGACAATTAACAGCAGTTCCTTGCTGGACGCCACTGACCATGCTGACAGAATCCAGCAGCCAGCACTGCTCATGCTGGAGTTAATGCATGTGTTTTGTTAATCAAGGGATAATCAAATTGCAGTTCTATTTCCAGACATTAATTCTTGATTGTTTTCCAGAGAATGAGAAATATTGTTACATAAAATTAATTTGCTTTTAAAATTAATACTGCTGGAACATTAAGGACATTTTCCCAAACAACATGTCCTTTCCTTTTACTAAAACTATATGGATTGTACTATTTTATAGTTTCTATAGATTTGCCCTGCTTCAAGGGATGGTGTGGTTGCATATCAATTTTGCATTTAGATTTTAAAATATTTCCTCTACACTTAGAATTTTTACTTATTAAAAAGAATATCTGGATATCTTTTTCAATTCCTTTACTCAAGCATTTTTATAAGTGCCACAAGAAATCATATTTTCAAGTTTCTCAGAAAAACTTAAACCATGTTGCTTTTGAAATGTAACTGGAAATAAGAAAGCACTTGACAATTTTTACTTAACAAATGCCATTTTTCCTATTTTTAATCTTAGATTTGTGTGAAACTTATTCTTACGAAATTATACATTTCATCTTGCTCAGAATCATAAAGACAATTGGCTCTTCAACTTAGTATTGTTTCTCTTGTGTATGTCTGCAGTGTCTATTAATGCAAGTATAGTCACTCAAATGAAATCCTAAATTGAAAAGTAGTATGTAAGGCATTATATTTCTACTTTAAGACATACGGTAATATTACATATCTACCAGCTCATAAGGTTACTTTTGCTTTTTTTCTGAAATTGATTTAGAAAATATATAATATATGCTACTATAACTTTGACAGTAAATTATATGGGTATGCTTCTTATCCATTAACATTATCACACATAGAAATAATGTATACTTCAATTTTATGAATGTACACATTGCTCTTTGCATTTATTGTTTCAGCATCTTCAAACCCAGAAGTCATCAAAATAAATTCAATTCCAGATATAGTAACAAATGTGGAAGACTACTACCTTAAAGGCTATAGTATTGGAGCTATTCATCCTGTCATACAATCTGCAGGGCAGCGAAAACCCCTGCCTGCAAGTTACTTATACAGGGCAGTGCTGTCGCGCTTGAAAGTAAGGTAAGCCTGGCACTCAAGAAAAGTCCTACTAAGGAGGCTGTTGAAAGTGACAGTTATCTTTGGCTAAAAGAAAAGAAAATTTGAGCAAAATGATGGGAAATCAGAGATTATTAGGCATTTGGGCTTAAGGCACATTTTCCAGTAGTTGAATTGCCTTTCTCAAAATTCCTCATTGATTTTTGCCCCTTGCAGCCACCCAGGTAGTAGGATGGAAGTAAACAAAGGGAAAGGAAAATAGACTCCAGAAGCTTCTACAGCAACTTCGGCAGATGAGGAAATAGCAATTTGCTACAAGTCTTATCACTGGGCCAAAAGCTGACTGGACTAATAAAGTACACCTTCCCTGGGCATTTTTTTTAACAGTCCTATATTATTTTAATAGTAGTGGCAACAGAAACTGTCTCTACCTTCTAAAACTTTCACAGCAGAAAGGATTTCATGCCAAGTTCTCACAGATTGGATAGACCTCTTATCAGCTTTTTCCCAAAAATAGGATGTAAAAACCAATTGACTTTGGTTCATTTTTTTAACTTTTCTTAGTAGCTGCTTTCCCAAACAATCCTGCAAGGATGTTTGCCAGCCTAGCTTGTAAGTTTGACCAGCCTAGCTTGTAAGTTTGACAGTTTTCAAAATAATGTTGCACCTTCCATTGAAGAATGAAAATAACCAGACCAATGTCCTTGATGAACACATTAAATTTTTTACACAATTCTTCAACTCTATCAAAACCATCTCAAAGACCAGAGAAAAAATTGTTTTATCTTTAGAGTGATGGACTTATCATCAACTGTAACTATGAAAGAGCTAAGCAGAGAAGGAAAAATGAGATAAGAGGAAGAAAGAAGACAGGAAATAGGAAAAAATGAGGGAGCTTCTAAACATTCCAGGTGTGCTTTGAAGGGACACTGTCGGCTGCTGAGTAATTGTCTGCTCACACGTGTCTGAGCAGGTGTGTCCAGGCTTCTGCTTTCACCACGACAGGCAGCCTCGCCAGATACTAACTAGTTCAAGCATTACTAAATAAACATGCCATTTTATCACACAGTAGTAATACTTATGTCCTAATGACAAATTTTATAAACTATGTATAAATTCTTTTTTCTCTTTTAGCGTTACTGCAAATAAACTTAACAGTGCCCTGACAAGGCTAAGAATAAGCAAGGGGTAAAGATCAGAAAAGAAGAAAAAGAGAAAAAACATGACAGTATTTCTCTGCATTTAAATAGGATATTTTGCCTGTGCTTTTGTACAACAATGAGGTATAACAGTGATGTAAAGTCATTTCTCACAGACTTTATTAGAACAACAGACATGAAATTATTCTTTCATATTATCGGAAATTAAGGACATTTAAATTAATAGAAGTTACTGTGTTTTTCTGGTTTTTTTACTTATGAAGACAACGATTAGGCTTGAAATAACCAAAAGAAAGAAATTACTGCCTAGACCTTATCTTGGGTGGGTTGCTCCCTCACTTTCACATGAGCATATTAGCTGAAAGTCAACAATTGGCTTCCAACGATGAACATATTCTCTGTTTCAGCCCGAAGCACTCAGCAGCACCCAGTGGACAAAGACGCCCAAGGCTTGTGATTGAAGAATGTCCTCTAACTTATGAGACACAAACAAATGACATAGCAAAAGAACTGATAGAAAAGGTACTAAATGTATACATTTTTTCATGTGATATTGACAAATATTTGGTATTTCTTCTTCATCAATTTCCTTGCTTACTTTAAAAAAAACTGGGAGATGGTAGGTGACTTAGTCTACCAGAATTTGAAACATACTGAAGCATATGTACAAATCGTAGAGAGTTTAAACTAGAAAGACAGGTCAATGAAACAGAATGAAAATGCCAGAAATAAAGTTATATACATATAAAAAGTTTCATAGCAAACCTGATGAATAAAATGTTGGAACAGTCATTACTTAATAAGTGCTACTCAGAAAGCAGGCAATTATTCTACAGAAATGGGACTCCACACAACTTAGATGAGATAAAGAGGCCATTTTAAACTATAAAAAAATCGAAAAGAAAGTGGAAGAGTAGACATATGCAATTACTGAAGAGACTGAGGAATTTGAGTATATACATATAACTTACATACTAGGAAAGCTAAGCTTAAAAAAAAGTATCAGGGGAAATCTGCAACAAATGTGTCCTATGGGAGCTTCATTTTCAGAATATACAGAAAATTAATACGAATGCATGAAAGTGATGTCCAGTCTTGAACAGACAAAGAGAATCCATGGACAGTGTAATACAAAGAAAACACAAATAATAGATGTTTGGCAAAAGGTTCAACCTAACTAATAAGTTTTAATGTAAATAAAAACTAAGAATTAATACCTCACCAGTGTTAACTGAGAAATCAAATTGAAAGTATTAATTCTAGTGTTGGAAAAGCTTTAAGAAAACATTCATATAGTGCAACTGGCATTGTAATAAAGTAGTAGTCTTTCTGAATATCAATTTGGTAATAAAAATCATGTCTCATTTTATTTTATGACCTAATATTTCAAGATATTAATTGAAAATAAAAAGCCATTTTTCTACAAAGAAATTTTAATCATCAGTGAACAAGGGGCAAAATTCTCAATAATTGGAAAACTGAGAAGGAAGCAATCATATATCAATACAAGGGAATATTTTATGAGCATTAAACATGACAACTATTGATTGCTGAGTTAGAAAAGTCTATAAATAAAACTTAATTGAAACTTCAATGAAAAATTGAACACTATATGTATATTGATTACAACCAAGAGAATTGTGCATACATAAATGTTCTAAATTCACAGGATTTTATGGTGAACAGTTTTCTTTAGGTGCATCAACATATAGGTAAGGTTTTAGGTTTTATTTACATGACCGCAGCTAAAAACCTCAGGCATTTCCTTTCAAGTAAAACTTGTGAAACTTTTTCATAGTTTCTATTGTTCCCAAGCTTTAAAGTACCATATGTGTAAGATTATCTGTGGTTTGTATATAACCAGTTATAGCTGTTAATGATATTTCCCATTTAGGTATAAAGTCACCATTCAATAAGCTTTTTCAGGAACAGTCTTTGAGACTAGATTTTTATAAGCAAAGTACACATACTGTTTACTACTACTATTCTGTGAAATTTCAATTCTTTTTCTGGGAATAAATCCACTCCAGAAAACTTATTTTGAAAACAAAATGTAACTACTAATTTAGTCTTAATAGATCACCATCAGTGCCCTTGTTTTGCATTTGACTTCCTGGACACAGGCCTATTTAAACAGGAAAGTACTGTTATTTCAGCAATTAGAGTAATAGGGTTATTTCATGAAGAGAAAAGCTTCAGGAAACACAGCACATGAAATATTTGAACATTGCCCCATGTATGAACAAAACCAATAGATGAATGCCAAATGTTTTTGAATAGCTGCCTTATATAAAGACTTGACTGTTGAACAGCTAGATTTTAAGTTGTTTTAACATTACATCAATGTTGGCTCTATTTTTAAAATAATGTTCACAAATGTTTTTCTCAGGATTTTTAAATAAAAATAAAATTTTAAATGTCAATCTTCCAACTTAAAAAAATGGAAAAATATTAATATTTGTTACCAGACTTTTCCAGATGAAACTTTCTAGTAATAGAAAAAACTTTCTGTGCTTTTCCAGCCAGATCAACAATAAGGCCTAGAGAAAACACTGACAATGAAGTCCCCCTTTTCCACCAGCAGAAGGCCAGGCCTCCTTACCACCTCCCTGTCCTTTCCCAGGACACCTGATGAAAAGGACAGTTTGTGGTTTTATGCTTAAGACTCCATGCAATGTTACAATCTTGATATATTAATTTAGAGGAGTAAATGGTATTGGGTCAATATAGTCCTTTGTCTGAGGCACACACACCCACACCCTCTCAGAATTCCCCCCTTCCTCACTGGAACAGAGTTACAGTTGCCCCCTTTGATTGGACATGCTTCTCAAGTTTTACCCCAATTCTTCTTGGTCTTTTTCATTCCATTTCATTTCTGACTAAAGATGTTTCTGCATTTGCAACCTCCATCATAACTCTTTTTTTTCCCTCCCAGGTAACATTTAAAACATTTCACTTAAATGTTTAAAATAATGACCATAAAAAGATGCTATTTTTTCATTATACCTCATTAACAAATATTTATAGACACTTGTATAGACATTGTACAAGCAACACCAAGGAACTGCCAGCTTAACACAGGAGAAAGATGATGCAAAGAACAGCGAAATGAAGCAAAACAGAAAGGGAGAAGTGCTGAGCATGAAAGTAACCACTCTTAGCGTCTCAAGTGATCTCGTTGGCATTGTGTCATGTGCCTCTTTAACTGATAGGATTGAATCTAATCAGGTCTGTTTGGCCCAGACAGGAGACAATAACATCAAGATATGAGCAGATCAGAAAGCTTCCTAAGGGTGGTAGTATGAATTGGGCTTATGCATTATATATACACATTTGTCAAGAATGTCTTCTAACATTTCTCTTTATCCACATCAAGCAAACAATGTTGTGTGTTTGATGCTTTTTAATTAATGTCTCTTCCATCTTAATTAAGATGTATTTGATAATGTTATTTCTCAGGATTTCTTAGAATAGTTTATAATTTTGCTTCTCCTGGAGAGACCATTATAAACAGAAAAAATTTTCCAGAGTCAATATATAGTTCTAAAAGTAAATTTAGGTTATGTTTCATTCCTTAGTCTTAAGAGTTTATTCTATAAAATAGACTCCTTTGTTTATAAATCAGGGTTGGTAGTTAAAATACTAAAAAAAGTAAAACCAAATGAATCATGGTGTGATTGCCACATAACCAGGCAGAACTGAGCCCTTTTATAATGAAACCCAGCTGTTTCTTCAAAGTCCAGGATCATTCTCTTTGTTTTTATTCCTTTCATAATGATGAAGAAAGTATATGTGATGAGATTAGTTTAAATCCAGAGGATGAAAATTTGAGGAAATGGATTATCCTGGTGTATATAACTTTTCTACCAAGTGCTTTATTTTCATTTGAGAAGTTGGGGTAAATACCCACTGCTGGTGGATTTCTGTTCCATCACGTGGATACTAATGCAGGAGGAGGTGGGGATTTCCTCTGACCCTTCTTCCTTGTCTGCTTCTTAACCTCCTGTCTGCGTTCAGACAATTAACAGCAGTTCCTTGCTGGACGCCACTGACCATGCTGACAGAATCCAGCAGCCAGCACTGCTCATGCTGGAGTTAATGCATGTGTTTTGTTAATCAAGGGATAATCAAATTGCAGTTCTATTTCCAGACATTAATTCTTGATTGTTTTCCAGAGAATGAGAAATATTGTTACATAAAATTAATTTGCTTTTAAAATTAATACTGCTGGAACATTAAGGACATTTTCCCAAACAACATGTCCTTTCCTTTTACTAAAACTATATGGATTGTACTATTTTATAGTTTCTATAGATTTGCCCTGCTTCAAGGGATGGTGTGGTTGCATATCAATTTTGCATTTAGATTTTAAAATATTTCCTCTACACTTAGAATTTTTACTTATTAAAAAGAATATCTGGATATCTTTTTCAATTCCTTTACTCAAGCATTTTTATAAGTGCCACAAGAAATCATATTTTCAAGTTTCTCAGAAAAACTTAAACCATGTTGCTTTTGAAATGTAACTGGAAATAAGAAAGCACTTGACAATTTTTACTTAACAAATGCCATTTTTCCTATTTTTAATCTTAGATTTGTGTGAAACTTATTCTTACGAAATTATACATTTCATCTTGCTCAGAATCATAAAGACAATTGGCTCTTCAACTTAGTATTGTTTCTCTTGTGTATGTCTGCAGTGTCTATTAATGCAAGTATAGTCACTCAAATGAAATCCTAAATTGAAAAGTAGTATGTAAGGCATTATATTTCTACTTTAAGACATATGGTAATATTACATATCTACCAGCTCATAAGGTTACTTTTGCTTTTTTTCTGAAATTGATTTAGAAAATATATAATATATGCTACTATAACTTTGACAGTAAATTATATGGGTATGCTTCTTATCCATTAACATTATCACACATAGAAATAATGTATACTTCAATTTTATGAATGTACACATTGCTCTTTGCATTTATTGTTTCAGCATCTTCAAACCCAGAAGTCATCAAAATAAATTCAATTCCAGATATAGTAACAAATGTGGAAGACTACTACCTTAAAGGCTATAGTATTGGAGCTATTCATCCTGTCATACAATCTGCAGGGCAGCGAAAACCCCTGCCTGCAAGTTACTTATACAGGGCAGTGCTGTCGCGCTTGAAAGTAAGGTAAGCCTGGCACTCAAGAAAAGTCCTACTAAGGAGGCTGTTGAAAGTGACAGTTATCTTTGGCTAAAAGAAAAGAAAATTTGAGCAAAATGATGGGAAATCAGAGATTATTAGGCATTTGGGCTTAAGGCACATTTTCCAGTAGTTGAATTGCCTTTCTCAAAATTCCTCATTGATTTTTGCCCCTTGCAGCCACCCAGGTAGTAGGATGGAAGTAAACAAAGGGAAAGGAAAATAGACTCCAGAAGCTTCTACAGCAACTTCGGCAGATGAGGAAATAGCAATTTGCTACAAGTCTTATCACTGGGCCAAAAGCTGACTGGACTAATAAAGTACACCTTCCCTGGGCATTTTTTTTAACAGTCCTATATTATTTTAATAGTAGTGGCAACAGAAACTGTCTCTACCTTATAAAACTTTCACAGCAGAAAGGCTTTCATGCCAAGTTCTCACAGATTGGATAGACCTCTTATCAGCTTTTTCCCAAAAATAGGATGTAAAAACCAATTGACTTTGGTTCATTTTTTTAACTTTTCTTAGTAGCTGCTTTCCCAAACAATCCTGCAAGGATGTTTGCCAGCCTAGCTTGTAAGTTTGACCAGCCTAGCTTGTAAGTTTGACAGTTTTCAAAATAATGTTGCACCTTCCATTGAAGAATGAAAATAACCAGACCAATGTCCTTGATGAACACATTAAATTTTTTACACAATTCTTCAACTCTATCAAAACCATCTCAAAGACCAGAGAAAAAATTGTTTTATCTTTAGAGTGATGGACTTATCATCAACTGTAACTATGAAAGAGCTAAGCAGAGAAGGAAAAATGAGATAAGAGGAAGAAAGAAGACAGGAAATAGGAAAAAATGAGGGAGCTTCTAAACATTCCAGGTGTGCTTTGAAGGGACACTGTCGGCTGCTGAGTAATTGCCTGCTCACACGTGTCTGAGCAGGTGTGTCCAGGCTTCTGCTTTCACCACGACAGGCAGCCTCGCCAGATACTAACTAGTTCAAGCATTACTAAATAAACATGCCATTTTATCACACAGTAGTAATACTTATGTCCTAATGACAAATTTTATAAACTATGTATAAATTCTTTTTTCTCTTTTAGCGTTACTGCAAATAAACTTAACAGTGCCCTGACAAGGCTAAGAATAAGCAAGGGGTAAAGATCAGAAAAGAAGAAAAAGAGAAAAAAAATGACAGTATTTCTCTGCATTTAAATAGGATATTTTGCCTGTGCTTTTGTACAACAATGAGGTATAACAGTGATGTAAAGTCATTTCTCACAGACTTTATTAGAACAACAGACATGAAATTATTCTTTCATATTATCAGAAATTAAGGACATTTAAATTAATAGAAGTTACTGTGTTTTTCTGGTTTTTTTACTTATGAAGACAACGATTAGGCTTGAAATAACCAAAAGAAAGAAATTACTGCCTAGACCTTATCTTGGGTGGGTTGCTCCCTCACTTTCACATGAGCATATTAGCTGAAAGTCAACAATTGGCTTCCAACGATGAACATATTCTCTGTTTCAGCCCGAAGCACTCAGCAGCACCCAGTGGACAAAGACGCCCAAGGCTTGTGATTGAAGAATGTCCTCTAACTTATGAGACACAAACAAATGACATAGCAAAAGAACTGATAGAAAAGGTACTAAATGTATACATTTTTTCATGTGATATTGACAAATATTTGGTATTTCTTCTTCATCAATTTCCTTGCTTACTTTAAAAAAAACTGGGAGATGGTAGGTGACTTAGTCTACCAGAATTTGAAACATACTGAAGCATATGTACAAATCGTAGAGAGTTTAAACTAGAAAGACAGGTCAATGAAACAGAATGAAAATGCCAGAAATAAAGTTATATACATATAAAAAGTTTCATAGCAAACCTGATGAATAAAATGTTGGAACAGTCATTACTTAATAAGTGCTACTCAGAAAGCAGGCAATTATTCTACAGAAATGGGACTCCACACAACTTAGATGAGATAAAGAGGCCATTTTAAACTATAAAAAAATCGAAAAGAAAGTGGAAGAGTAGACATATGCAATTACTGAAGAGACTGAGGAATTTGAGTATATACATATAACTTACATACTAGGAAAGCTAAGCTTAAAAAAAAGTATCAGGGGAAATCTGCAACAAATGTGTCCTATGGGAGCTTCATTTTCAGAATATACAGAAAATTAATACGAATGCATGAAAGTGATGTCCAGTCTTGAACAGACAAAGAGAATCCATGGACAGTGTAATACAAAGAAAACACAAATAATAGATGTTTGGCAAAAGGTTCAACCTAACTAATAAGTTTTAATGTAAATAAAAACTAAGAATTAATACCTCACCAGTGTTAACTGAGAAATCAAATTGAAAGTATTAATTCTAGTGTTGGAAAAGCTTTAAGAAAACATTCATATAGTGCAACTGGCATTGTAATAAAGTAGTAGTCTTTCTGAATATCAATTTGGTAATAAAAATCATGTCTCATTTTATTTTATGACCTAATATTTCAAGATATTAATTGAAAATAAAAAGCCATTTTTCTACAAAGAAATTTTAATCATCAGTGAACAAGGGGCAAAATTCTCAATAATTGGAAAACTGAGAAGGAAGCAATCATATATCAATACAAGGGAATATTTTATGAGCATTAAACATGACAACTATTGATTGCTGAGTTAGAAAAGTCTATAAATAAAACTTAATTGAAACTTCAATGAAAAATTGAACACTATATGTATATTGATTACAACCAAGAGAATTGTGCATACATAAAAGTTCTAAATTCACAGGATTTTATGGTGAACAGTTTTCTTTAGGTGCATCAACATATAAGTAAGGTTTTAGGTTTTATTTACATGACCGCAGCTAAAAACCTCAGGCATTTCCTTTCAAGTAAAACTTGTGAAACTTTTTCATAGTTTCTATTGTTCCCAAGCTTTAAAGTACCATATGTGTAAGATTATCTGTGGTTTGTATATAACCAGTTATAGCTGTTAATGATATTTCCCATTTAGGTATAAAGTCACCATTCAATAAGCTTTTTCAGGAACAGTCTTTGAGACTAGATTTTTATAAGCAAAGTACACATACTGTTTACTACTACTATTCTGTGAAATTTCAATTCTTTTTCTGGGAATAAATCCACTCCAGAAAACTTATTTTGAAAACAAAATGTAACTACTAATTTAGTCTTAATAGATCACCATCAGTGCCCTTGTTTTGCATTTGACTTCCTGGACACAGGCCTATTTAAACAGGAAAGTACTGTTATTTCAGCAATTAGAGTAATAGGGTTATTTCATGAAGAGAAAAGCTTCAGGAAACACAGCACATGAAATATTTGAACATTGCCCCATGTATGAACAAAACCAATAGATGAATGCCAAATGTTGTTTTTGAATAGCTGCCTTATATAAAGACTTGACTGTTGAACAGCTAGATTTTAAGTTGTTTTAACATTACATCAATGTTGGCTCTATTTTTAAAATAATGTTCACAAATGTTTTTCTCAGGATTTTTAAATAAAAATAAAATTTTAAATGTCAATCTTCCAACTTAAAAAAATGGAAAAATATTAATATTTGTTACCAGACTTTTCCAGATGAAACTTTCTAGTAATAGAAAAAACTTTCTGTGCTTTTCCAGCCAGATCAACAATAAGGCCTAGAGAAAACACTGACAATGAAGTCCCCCTTTTCCACCAGCAGAAGGCCAGGCCTCTTACCACCTCCCTGTCCTTTCCCAGGACACCTGATGAAAAGGACAGTTTGTGGTTTTATGCTTAAGACTCCATGCAATGTTACAATCTTGATATATTAATTTAGAGGAGTAAATGGTATTGGGTCAATATAGTCCTTTGTCTGAGGCACACACACCCACACCCTCTCAGAATTCCCCCCTTCCTCACTGGAACAGAGTTACAGTTGCCCCCTTTGATTGGACATGCTTCTCAAGTTTTACCCCAATTCTTCTTGGTCTTTTTCATTCCATTTCATTTCTGACTAAAGATGTTTCTGCATTTGCAACCTCCATCATAACTCTTTTTTTTCCCTCCCAGGTAACATTTAAAACATTTCACTTAAATGTTTAAAATAATGACCATAAAAAGATGCTATTTTTTCATTATACCTCATTAACAAATATTTATAGACACTTGTATAGACATTGTACAAGCAACACCAAGGAACTGCCAGCTTAACACAGGAGAAAGATGATGCAAAGAACAGCGAAATGAAGCAAAACAGAAAGGGAGAAGTGCTGAGCATGAAAGTAACCACTCTTAGCGTCTCAAGTGATCATTGTGTCATGTGCCTCTTTAACTGATAGGATTGAATCTAATCAGGTCTGTTTGGCCCAGACAGGAGACAATAATATCAAGATATGAGCAGATCAGAAAGCTTCCTAAGGGTGGTAGTATGAATTGGGCTTATGCATTATATATACACATTTGTCAAGAATGTCTTCTAACATTTCTCTTTATCCACATCAAGCAAACAATGTTGTGTGTTTGATGCTTTTTAATTAATGTCTCTTCCATCTTAATTAAGATGTATTTGATAATGTTATTTCTCAGGATTTCTTAGAATAGTTTATAATTTTGCTTCTCCTGGAGAGACCATTATAAACAGGGATTCAAAAATCTTGCAGTAAAATTATTAATTCTTCCCAAATAGTACATTTTGGAGAAAAATATGATTCCTATTTTCACAATTTCTAAAGCATATTAGTTCTGTTTGAAGAAATCATAACAATGATGTGATAAAGTCTTTGGAGAAGGTGCTGTATTAGAGGTTATTCATTTATTTGTGAATGGTTCTTTAGTGAGTGGTCAATACTCCTTCTAGTGAATTTCCATGGTCAGCCTAAAGGTTAATTGATAAAGGAATCAATGTAAATGAAGTTTACATTTTGTTCTACAATCTCTTTTTAAACCTCAGATTAATGTAGCTGCTAAAAGAGGAATGAAATTTGTTGGATTCATATCGCAGCAATATCCACCACTTAAATTCTGCAATGGAGCCAACCATGATGGAGATACAGAATCAACAGCTCCCGTGAGACACAGTTCAGATGAAAGCTGTAGAAGCTGGCATGAAGGAACAGTAAGTGGGCGATCATCTGAAAGTGGCGTTGAGGAAGAGCTTCATCATGAAAGTGCACAGTGTCAAACGGAGCGAGCTGGCAGCCCCAAGTCCTCGACATCAAGAAAGGGAGAAGGTAATAGAGGAGATGAATAGAAATGTAATTTTTCTTAATTTAACTTTAGCAAAAATAAGTTTTTGAGGTTTTCTTTTTAGAAATATGAAACAAAGTAAATTTCTAAAGATTAGAAATACTGAATAAACCAATATAAACTTGCCTTGAGATTTTTAAATTATTGCATCCAGAAATAAGGTAGGACAGTTTTCCAAACAGTTGATCCTGTTTAGAGGAGTAAATGATATTGCATCAACATAGTCCTTTGTCTGAGGTACGCACATAATGAAACTCTGCGCTGAAAATTGGTTCCTACTTGGTCATTCACTAACTCCCTGTAAAACGGAGGCTGTGCACATGTACCAAAAAAGTTGTTCTGATTTATGTTGTCCTTACAAACAGCATGTGGGAATTTTAGTTTTAGCCTTTCCCATTTCATGGATGATTTTCACCACTGAAGTTAATTGGCTTTCTTTGATCATTAATTACAAAATGAAGAATGCACATAATGATGAAACAATTAATATAACAATCATCCCTGAATCCTAAAATAACTTTAAACAATAGTTTTATTCTTCTTTGCCAAGTAACAAGTCTTCCCAAGAAATTGAGAGGATTTTTTCATGTATTTTGGACTGTTCAAAGCTTTCTAGTACCTTTATGGGCATCCTTTAAAAAGGGCTATTAAAGAAAATTAAAGGCTATGTATACCACAGAGTTAAGAGCTCTGGAGTCAGACTGCTTCCATTTCTTTATAGAAGAGGTTTTGTTGTGAGAAATAGATAGGTATCTACAAATGCTCAGCCCAGTGCCTGGCACAGGATAGACTATTAATTTAGCTACTATTAACTGCATATTTTTTTAAACTGCAGAACATTGCATATCATTTAGGGATACACGTATATTAAAAGAATAAAAGTCAAAGAGAGGCTCAAGGTGGTGGTGTAAGAAGGGTGTGGAAATCTCCTCCCAAAACCATATATTTTTTTGAAAATACAACAAGTACAACTACGCCTAACAGAGAGACCAGAAGATACAGTACAATAGCCAGACTACATCTACATCTGCAAGAACTCAGTATCTCATGAAAAGGGTAAGATACAAAGCCATGACTCTGGGAGAACTGAGCACTCCCCCCACCCACCCCAGCTCTCCAGTGGGAGGAAAGGAGTCAGAGTGGGGAGGGAGTAGAAGCACAGGACTGCTAAATACCCAGCCCTACTAATCTGCACCAGGAGCAGAGACACACACTGCATGGTGTGCTGGATATTAGAGAAACGGAAAAGTAAAATCTGCGAGCAGGTCCCTGCAGCCAGCTCCCCTGGGACAAAAGAAAAGCAGATGTTTTTTGAAAGTCTTAAAGGGACAGGGGCTTCACAGGAGGATTCACAGCTGTGAATCCTGAGGAACTTCAGGCACCCCAACACCCTGGGTGGCAAAAATGCTCTGAAGCCCCTTATGGCGATAAGAAGGCTGCCAGTTGTTCCCCCCGGCCGGCACAGTCCTGCCACAGTGACAGAGCAGCCGGAGAGTGGCTGCACCCACAGCAGTCGCCCAGAGTCTGCTCCCCACGCACAGCCACCTGGGCCAGACCCAGAGGCTACCACTGGTGCACAGCTACCCAGCACAGACAGAGGAAGCCAGGGCAAGGCACGAAGGGTCACCATTCTCACAGGAGAACACACCCGGCATGCCTACCACACCCTGCAGGGCTCTCGGCTATCCTGAGGGCTGCCCCACCCACAGCAGACCAGGGGATTAACCCAGAGGCTCCTCCCAGTGTGTGGGTAACCAACATAGGCAGCAGAGAAGGGCAAGGCAACCAGCAAGCAGGAAGGGACTTTGTTCTCCCAGCTGACACATGCACCACCTGCCAGTAACCACCACTGTCACCATGAAAAGGCAGAAGAATCTGGACCAGTCAAGAATCACCTGAACAACCCCAGAGAGAGGGCCTGGGGAGATAGATATAACCAATCTTCCTGAAAAAGAATTCAAAATAAGTCATAACCAAGCTGATGGAACTGCAGAGAAATATGCAAGAGCTAAGGGATGAAGTCAGGAGGGAGATAACGGAAATGAAACAATCTCTGGAAGGACTTAAGAACTGACTGGATGAGGTGCAAGAGACTGCTAATGGAATAGAAATTAGAGAACAGGAATACAGAGAAGCTGAGGCAGAGAGAGATGAAAGGATCTCAAGGAATGAAAAAATATTAAGAGAACTGTGTGACCAATCCAAATGGATCAATATACACATTATGGGGGTACCAGAAGAAGAAGAGAGACAAAAAGGGATAGAAAGTGTCTTTGAAGAAATAATTGCTGAAAACTTTCCCAAACTGGGGGAGGAAATAGTCTCTCAGACCATGGAAGCCCACAGAACTCCCAACACAAGGGACCCAAGGAGGACAACACCAAGACATATAATAATTAAAATGGCAAAGATCAAAGACAAGGACAGAGTATGAAAGGCAGCCAGAAAGAGAAAAAAGATCACCTATGAAGCAAAACCCATCAAGCTATCATCAGACTTTTCAACAGAAACCTTACAGGCCAGAAGAGAACGGCATGACATATTTAATGCAATGAAACAGAAGGGCCTTGAACCAAGAATACTGTATCCAGCATGATTATCATTTAAATATGAAGGAGGGATTAAACGATTTCCAGACAAGCAACAGTTGAGGGAATTTGCCTCCAACAAACCACCTCTACAGGGTACTTTAAAGGAAATGCTCTAGATGGAAGCACTCCTAAGGCTAAATAGATGTCACCAGAGAAAATAAAATCACACCAAAGAAAGCAGACCAATCAAATACTAACTTAAGTCAAAAAATAAAACCAACTATTCACAAAAGCAGTCAAAGGAAACACAAAAGAGTACTGAATAAAACACCTGACATATAAAGAATGGAGGAGGAAGAATAAGAAGGGAGAGAAATAAAGAATCATCACACTGTGTTTATAATAGCTTAAGAAGAGAGTTAAGTTAGACAGTTAGATAGTAAAGAAGCTACCCTTGAACCTTTGGTAACCATGAATCTAAAGCCTGCAATGGCAGTAAGTACATATCTTTCGATAGTCACCCTAAATGTAAATGGAATGAATGCTCCAATCAAAAGACACAGAGTAATAGAATGGATAAAAAAGCAAGACCCATCTACATGCTGCTTACAAGAGATTCACCTCAAACCTAAAGACATACCCAGACTAAAAGTGAAGGGATGTAAAAAGATATTTAATGCAATAAACAGGGAGGAAAAAGCAGGTGTTGCAGTACTTGTATCAGACAAAATGGAATTCAAAACAAAGAAAGTAACAAGAGATAAAGAGACATTACATAATGATAAAGGGGCCAGTCCAAAAGAGGATATAACCATTATAAAAATATATGGACCCAACCCAGGAGCACCAACATATGTGAAACAAATACTAACAGAATTAAAGGACAAAATAGAATTCAATGCATTCATTTTAGGAGACTTCAACACCACTCTCTCCAAACGACAGATCAACCAGGCAGAAAATAAGTAAGGACACAGAGGCACTGAACAACACACTAGAACAGATGGACCAAACAGACATCTACAGAACTCTACACCCAAAAGCAGCAAGATACACATTCTTCTCAAGTGCACATGGAACATTCTCCAGAATACACCACATATGAGGCCACAAAAAGAGCCTCTGTAAATTCAAAAAGATTGAAATCCTACCAACCAACTTCTCAGACCACAAAGTTATAAAACTAGAAATAAATTGTACAAAGAAAACACAAAGGCTCACAAACACATGGAGGCTTAACAACATGCTCCTAAATAATCAATGGATCAATGATCAAATTAAAACAGATCAAGCAATATATGGAGACAAATGACAACAACAGCACAAATCCCCAACTTCTGTGTGATGCAGCTAAGGTAGTTCTAAGAGGAAAGTATACAGCAATCCAGGCCTATTTAAAGAAGGAAAAACAATCCCAAATGAACAGTCTAAAGTCACAATTATTGAAATTGCAAAAAGAAGAACAAATGAGGCCCAAAGTCAGCAGAAGGAGGGACATAATAAAGATCAGGTAAGAAATAAATAAAATTGAGAAGAATACAACAATAGAAAAAAATCAATGAAACCAAGTGCTTATTCTTTGAGAAAATAAACAAAATAGATAAATCCCTAGCCAGATTTATTAAGAGAAAAAGAGAATCTACACACTTGAACAGAATCAGAAGTGAGAAAGTAAAACTCACAATGGATGCCACAGAAATACAAAGAATTATTGCAGAATACTATGAAAATCTATATGCTAACAAGCTGGAAAACCTAGAAGAAATGGACAACTTCCTAGAAAAATACAACCTTCCAAGACTGACAAAGGAAGAAACAGAAAATCTAAACATTCTGATTACCAGCAATGAAATTGAAGTGGTAATCAAAAAACTACCCAAGAACAAAACCCCCAGACCAGATGGATTCACCGCTGAATTTTATCAGACATACAGAGAAGATATAATACCCATCCTCTTTAAAGTTTTCCAAAAAATAGAAGAGGAATTCCAAACTCATTCTATGAAGCCAGCATCATTCTAATACCAAAACCAGGCAAAGACCCCACCGAAAAAGAATATTACAGACCAATATCCCTGAGGAACATAGATACAAAAATACTCAACAAAATATTAACAAACTGAATTCAAAAATACATCAAGAGGATCATACACCATGATCAAGTGGGATTCATCTCAGGGACACAAGGATGGTACAACATTTGAAAAACCATCAACATCATCCACCACACCAAAAAAAAGAAGGACAAAAACCATATGATCATCTCCATAGATGCTGAAAAAACATTTGACAAAATTCAACATCCATTCATGATAAAAACTCTGAACAAAATGGGTATAGAGGGCAAGTAACTCAACATAATGAAGGCCATATATGACAAACCCATAGCCAACATCATACTGAACAGCAGGAAGCTGAAAGCTATTCCTCTAAGATCGGGAACAAGACAGGGGTGCCCACTCTCCCCACTGTTACTCAACATAGTACTGGAGGTCTTAAGCCACGGCAATTAGACAAAACAAAGAAATACAAGGAATCCAGATTGGTAAAGAAGAAGTTAAACTGTCACTGTTTGCAGATGACATGATATTGTACACAAAAAACCCTGAAGACTCCACTCCAAAACTACTAGAACTGATATCGGAATACAGCAAAGTTGCAGGATACAAAATTAACACACAGAAATCTGTTGCTTTCCTGTACACTAACGATAAACGAGCAGAAAGAGAAATCAGGAAAACAACTCCATTTACAATGTCATCAAAAAGAATAAAATACCTAGGAATAATCCTAACCAAGGAAGTGAAAGACCTATACCCCGAAAACTACAAGACACTCTTAAGAGAAACTAAAGAGGACACTAACAAATGGAACCTCATCCCATGCTCTTGGCTAGGAAGAATTAACATTGTCAAAATGACCATCCCGGCTAAAGCAATCTACAGATTCAATGCAGTCCCTACCAAAATACCAACAGCATTCTTCAGTGGACTGGAACAAATAGTTCAAAAATTCATTTGGAACCACAAGAGACCCCGAATAGCCAAAGCAATCCTGACAAGGAAGAATAAAGCAGGCGGGATCTCACTTCCCAACTTCAAGCTCTACTGCAAAGCCACAGTAATCAAGACAGTTTGGTACTATCACAAGAACAGACCCACAAACCAGTGGAACAGAATAGAGAGTCCAGATATTAACCTAAACATACATGGTCAATTAATATATGATAAAGGAGCCATGGACATACAATGGGGAAATGACAGCCTCTTCAACAGCTGGTGTTGGCAAAACTGGACAGCTACATGTAAGAATGAAAGTGATTGTCTAACCCCATACACAAAAGTAAATTCGAAATGGATCAAAAACCTCAATGTGAGTCATGAAACCATAAAACTCTAAGAAAAAATCATAGGCAAAAATCTCTTGGTTATAAACATGAGCAACTTCTTCACGAACATATCTCCCTGGGCAAGGGAAACAAAAGCAAAAATGAACAAGTGGGACTATATCAAGCTGAAAAGCTTCTGTACGCCAAAGAATACCATCAATAGAACAAAAAGGCAGCCTACAGAATGGGAGAATATATTCATAAATGACAGATCTGATAAAGGGTTGACATCCAAAATATATAAAGAGTTCATGCACCTGAACAAACAAAAAGCAAATAATCCAATTAAACAATGGGCACAGGATCTGAACAGACACTTCAAAGAAGAAATTCAGATGGCCAACAGGTACATGAAAAGATGCTCTACATCACTAATCATCAGAGAAATGCAAATTAAAACCCTAATGAGATATCACCTCACACCAGTAAGGATCGCCACCATCCAAAAGACAAAGAGCAACAAATGTTGGTGAGGTTGTGGAGAAAGGGGAACCCTCCTACACTGCTGGTGGGAATGTAAACTAGTTCAACCATTGTGGAAAGCAGTATGGAGGTTCCTCAAGAAGCTCAGAATAGAAATACCATTGGACCTAATAATTCCTCTCCTAGGAATTTACCCTAAGAATGCAGCAGCCCAGTTTGAAAAAGACATATGCACCCCTATGTTGATCACAGCACTATTTACAATAGCCAAGAACTGGAAGAAACCTAAGTGTCCATCAGTAGATGAATGGATAAAAAAGAGGTGGTACATATACATAATGGAATATTATTCAGCCATAAGAAGAAAACAAATCCTACCATTTGCAACAACATGGATGGAGCTAGAGGGTATTTTGCTCAGTGAAATAAGCCAGGCGGAAAAAGACAAGTATCAAATGATTTCACTCATCTGTGGAGTATAACAAAGAAAAAAACTGATGGAACAAAACAGCAGCAGACTCACAGAACCCAAGAATGAACTAACAGTTACCAAAGGGAAAGGGACTGGGGAGGGTGGGTGGGAGGGGAGGGATAAGGGGGAAAAATAAAAGGGGCCTTACTATTGGCAGACATAATGTGGGGGTGGATGGCATGGGGAGGGCTGTACAACACAGAAAAGACAAGTAGTGATTCTATAGCATCTTACTTCGCTGATGGGTAGTGACTGTAATGGGGTATGTGGGGGAGGGCTGGTTGATGAGGGGAAAATAAAAATAATAATAAATAAATAAATAATAAAATAAAGAATAAAAGTTTGCATGAGAATGGTAAATACAGAATTCATTATTTCTGAAGAATAGAATTAGGGAAGACTGTATACTCAACTGCATCCATTTCTCATTTCCTTGGAAAAGGTCTGAAACAAATATAGCAATATGAAGGTGAGTGGTAGGTAATTTTATTATTCTCTGATTGTGTGCTTGCAATAGCTCATAATTTTAAAAAATGATTTTAAGAATTGTTTCAATAAAATTAGTTTTCCCCTTTTTTCTCCCTTTTGAACGCCTATCCTCAGATATTAAGTTGTACATATTCTTCAATGTCTTCGATGATGAATCAACCTGTTGGACCTATCAGGAAGGCATCCTGTCAATGAAAGTAACAAGAAAAGGAGCTGTCATTAGTACCCTTGATGCTGATTGGCTGGAGTTAACTACATTTTATTATAAACAAGGCCTGTCTTTAATTGATTCTTTTGTATGCTGGGAAACATCTAAAGGTAAGTTTTATTTTATAATATATTAATATCTAAAGAATTTGACCTTGCATCAGAGGTGGTGGAAATGTCTTCTTTGTCTCTCAAGTTCTGTGGTTAAAAGGACAGATAATATTCTTAAGGAAATAAATTTCAATTATTATACAGCTATGTAGCTTTAATTCAAAAGCTTAACAATCCTGTGTGGTAGAATTACAGCATGATGTTTGCTGTTGGGTTTTAAACTGTCAGGAACAGACAGACAGCTGTGTGATCAACTAGTAGGATTTTTCACGTAAGATGTACTACAACCTCACTGGAGGCTGATGATGGCATTTGACAATTGCTACCCAAATATATTATACTATTCCAACTTTAGACACTACCTACCATGTACTCCAGTCTATACCTCTTTTTAACATTTGTATAGAAAAATATTATTTGGTTCAGAAAATCATACTGACCCCTTATATATTTCTGCCTTTCCCTTATGTTTCATCTTTCTCTAGCCTCCCTCTGATAGTTACAGTGTGATATGCAATACTTCTTGTCTATCACAAAAATTAACAAAACCTTCCAAAAATGACTTTCTAGGGAATTGTTTTTAAAAGAGGTTACTGCTAAAAGAAAAGTAGTAAGAAGACTGGAAAAATGCATTAGGAAGGATAATTAGAGACCCTAACTCTTCTAAGGTTAGAGGAAGGAATGAAAAAGAAAATAAGATGAAATTTCAATATACCTTATTATCATAAAATAAGCCTAAGATACCTTAACTAATAGAACTCAATACTTGGATGATTATTTGAAATTATAAAGAGTCATGTTCCAATAGGTCCTTTTAACTGGCAACCAAGAGTAAGGATCTAGCCCATTGGGGTACCCAGAAATACAGCACCTTGCATAGTGCTTGATGCAAATATGTGCTCAATAAAAATTTATTAATATTTTTGGTTACTAGAAACTTCTCCCAAGTTGGTCACCTATGAGCAAGATCCAGTAGGAAGAGCATGGATTTTAGGATCAGACAGACCAGTGTTTAAATCCTATGTCCTTTACTTATTAGCTGTGTGATCTGGAGAATTTAGTCGAGCTCACTGAGCCTCAGTTCCTAAAAGGGGGATAAAAATACTCCTATTTTATTGTTGTGAGAAATTAATAAGATGTCATATGTGCAAAGTGACTCCCAAAGTGCCTTGCCCACCATCTGCATTCATCCTCTGGTATTCACTTTCCTTCCTGCAACTTGTGTGCGTTACAGTGCTCTCGGTGAGGATCATCTGTTTGAGGTCAGTTTATGCTTCATATATGCCTCTCTCTCTCTCTCTCTCTCTCTCTCTCTCTCTCTCTCTCTCTCTCTCTCCCCCCCCACCCCCACCCCTTCTCTCTTTCTCTTCTTCCCAAAGTTGGACCCATTCAAACTTCGGTCTGTGACTAACTGCTGAAGGAAAAATGAAAAATACTCCTTTCATAATCTCAGGCACCCCTGCCTTGGGCCTTGCCTGCTGAAAATAAAATTAGCCACAGCAGTTGCCAGCCAGAAGCTCAGTAGGGTTTTTGTTCTTAAAGCCTCAGAACCTATTTAGGGAGCCTGGGGGGAGAATCTCTCCCTCTTAGCAGCCCTGGAATGTCTCATTTAGACATTTTACATTGCCGGCCATGCCAAGCCCCTAACGAGCCACTGTGGCCTTGTGGGGTCTGGCAACTGGGTGTGTCACTCGTGACTTTCCCTGGAGCAGGCAGGGGAGCTGCAGAGGGAAACTGTGACCAGTGCCTGGGTCATTGTGAGAAGCAAATCAGAGGAAGCAGGGCTGAATTGGTTGCTTTGTTCTGGGGTATTTGATGCCTGACATCTAAAGCACATAGGGGACAATGCATATTTTGTTTTGTCTTGCTTCCATCCTCTTCCAAAATATTGTCAGAAGTCAGACTACCATGAGGAATGAAAGTACAAAATCAGACATTGCACAGCAATTTAAATATATTACACTGCAATTCTCATTTTATAAAACACCTTCTTCCAGAAACAGAGAGGGGAAAATAAACTTTTAAAAAGTTTTCCCCTTCAGCATGGTCATGGTAGAAAGTTGTAAGGTCTATGAATTTCCTCTTCAGTGCCCTTCCCCACCCACTCTCAAAGCATTTCCTGCTTTGAAAAGCCCCGCAGGAGAGGCATGCAGTGGCCTTTTTGCTGCTCTTGCAGCCTGAGGACTCACCTCCAGAGCCCCTGATACCTGGCCTTCTGCGGCACTGCTGAGCCTCACCAAACCATCCTCAGCTGGATTCACTGCACACTTACAAGGGGCTTGCACTGTAGGGTAAAGCGCTCCAAACGGACCCAGAAGAACTATTAGAGTCTCACCCAGTTGAGCCAACAAAGACAAAGCTCTTTATTCTACCAGAATGGCTAGAGATCCAGCCAGCAGCTGACATGCGATAAGATGAGCAGCTTTACCAGCTGGTACAACACACACACACACACACACACACACACAACACACACACACAGCCTTGAGGTTCCTGCACTTCACTAGCCTACAGATGCCCCCATCATCCTCAGAGCATAGTTTCTTCCCACCTTTAGCATACCCACATCTTAAGACTACATTTTGATTTTTTTATGCATTCTTTTCAGACTTCACTTGGAGTTTATTTTAATCTCTTCACTCCTATATAAAAATGCTTGTCTGGAGGAGCTAGAGGGTATTATGCTCAGTGAAATAGGCCAGGTGGAGAAAGACAAGTATCAAATGATTTCACTCATCTATGGAGTATAAGAACAAAGAAAAAACTGAAGGAGCAAAACAGCAGCAGACTAATAGAACCCAAGAATGGACTAACAGTTACCAAAGGGAAAGGGACTGGAGAGGATGGGTGAGAGGGAGGAAGAAGGAGGGGGGGAGAAAGGGGGCATTATGATTAGCATGGATAATGTGAGGGGGGGCACGGGGAAGGCTGTACAGCACAGAGAAGACAGGTAGTGATTCTACAGCATCTTACTACGCTGATGGACAGTGACTGCAATGGGTATGTGGGGGGATCTTGGTCATGGGAGGAGTCTAGTAAACATAATGTTCCTCATGTAATTGTAGATTAATGATACCAAAATAAAAAATAATTGCTTGTGTAGAGTTGGTGGGGGAGATATATCAGAATAAGGATGGGGTAGCATAATGACATTGAAACAGGTATTTATTCATTTCACATATATGTATATGCCAGGCCCTATGTCAGTCACTGGGTTTACAACCATGAGCAATATGGACATCTTCCCTACTCTCAAAAGCTAGCTATGTAGCTCCAGGCATTCAGGCAGTAATGTATCAAAACATACATATCTAACTTCAAAAATCAGGAAAGTGTGTGCTGTTACCCAACAGGATTTTGTAACAGGGAAGAACCCACTTAGAGGAGTGAGCAGGAGGTCCTGTCTGACAGGGTAACAATCACAGTGAGACTGGAAGAGAAAATACGCCAGCATGTGGGAGCCAGATGTAGACCAGTTACAGGCAGAGGAAACCCACCCAAATGTGCCCCTAGGGCAGGGAAGAGGAGTGGGGAAAGGTCCCTAGAGCAGGGAATGGAGAGAATGGCTCCAGACAAGGTGGGAGAGGTACTCAAAAGCCACTCCATGCAGAGTCTTATTATAATATAAATAATGCGAAAAGAGCTGACATGTATTCGTCCTTATGTATCCAGCAGTGTTCTAAGCACTTTACATTTATTAACTCACTTAATCCCAACAGCAGCCCTACCAAGTAGGTATGACTATCTCCCTTTTATAGATGAGAAAACTGAGGAACACAGTTATTAAATAATGTGTCCATGTTCACAAAACTAAGTGGGGGTGGGGAACCATTCTAGAAGGCATGTGTGCTCTTAATCAATTTGCTGTTTTGCCAGGATTTTTATCCCAAGTCACTCATTGAAGATTTAAAGACAGAATTATGACCTAATCTGCATTTTTAAAAGAACCTCTTTGGCCTCATTTTGGGAAAGAGATCATAGAGGTAGAGGGCAAGAGTGGAAGCAGGGAGGCTGTAAGAGGGATCCATAGAGAGATGATGGTGGAAATGGAGAGAAGCAACAGGCTAAGATTTGTTTTAGAGATAAAATGTTTATGAATGAAACAAAGAATTAGGGTTCCCATATGTGCCTGCCTCTACTTCTCAGAGATGATCCTGGGCACACCTCTGTGCAGTGTAAAGCCAAAACTGACAGGTGGGCCAAAAATACTAAAATGGAATATTACCTTTCCTCCAATTACAGGAATGTCAGTGTTGAATCTAGCTGAAATGAATGTGTAAGATCACATGTCCTGAAAAGTAAACCATTCCCTGAGAATCCTTGAAGCTTGTGCTTCTGAAGCCAGGGTCCAAGTACCCTAGGGGTTTGGCCTTATGTCAAGATGTACACAAGTTCACAGGATAACCTCTTCCTAGAGTTGTTACGGAGTCCAAGCTCATGCCACTTGACGCATGACAGGCCAGTAAGTCAACACAAGGTGTTGGGGCAAGGAAAGTGACTTTATTTGGAAGCCAGCAGATCAAGAAGATGGAGGACTAATGACCTAAAGAACCATCTTAACTTAGGATTGATTTCAAGCTTATTTTATATTAAGGAAGGGGATCAAGCAGGGGTTGAGGTCAGGAGGTGACGACTGAGCTCAGACATCTGGACGTCAGCAAGGGTCTGAGGAGGGCCATGACACTCCTTGCCCTTGGTTAGTTGGCTACAGTCATTTCATTGACGTGGGTCTGGCTGTGATGCTTCTATAAGTCCTTGACAATCCAGTCATCATTTTTGTACATGTTTCTTTATCTCCTCCGGAGAGGCGATTTTGGGTAAGAGGATGGTTGCATCAATCTTAAGTCATGAGCAAAATTCCTTTTGATGATTAACAAGCCTACATTCAGGGCTGCAGGGCTGAGCAACACTTTTTAACCCAAAGACTCAGTCAGCAACAGAGATAGATATAGTATGAAGGCAGAGATGCCAAGTTTTTTCACTCTACTATAGAGTGTCAATATTACTTTAAGATTGGGGATGGGGGAGTGGGAAGAGGGAAGAGGGGAGTATATTACTTTTTTATATAATATGAATATATTTGAAAAGCCTGCTAAGTTTGCATGGATTTTTAAGTTTTACATTAGACTTTAAAGAAAACTTATGCATTCCACAAATCACTTCAGACTACCTAGAGGCCATCCTTCAATGATGCAAGTGTATACTTTCCTTTGCTATTGGTGATATTTGGCTCTAAAAATATTTTTGTGAAGCAGTGGGTCAGGCCAGTGCTTTGCAACTTTTTCATATTTTTCATACATAAAAAAAATGGTAATATCAGGTCCCCTGGTGTAAGTGGATAGAGCTGCTCTGAGCAGGAGGGGACACCCTATACCTTGGCACACCTATAACTGGTTCTGAGCACACCAGTGGGCCAAGGCACATTGCAGAATGCTCTGGGAAATGCATTGTTAAGAGATGACTCACTTCAGGGACAGTTTAAATATGTTCAGAATTATCACCTACCCCATTATCTGGAAGACTTAACACAGTGAGCACCCGGATGGTCGGTCCCCATGAGCCCTTCCCTGCTACTCTCCCTAGCTGCCACATCTGTTAAGGAGAATTTCTCAAGAGACATAAGTAAGTACTGCCCCCAGTGGAAGTGTCAGTCTTCTGTGGCTCTGGGGACTGGCATGGGCCTAAGAAAGCCAGGGGAGCTCTAACATGAGAAGGAAGGACTTTTGTTTTTAACTGAACTATAACATACATACAGTAAAATGCACTAATCCTATGTGTATAGCTGACTAGAACACAAATATTCAAGGTACAGAACACTTCCTTATATATCAGTTACATCTCAATAAAGCTGGGGGAAAAAATCATATCAATGTATCTCCATTAAGCTGCAGGGGAAAAAAGAAATGAAAAGAAAATAAGGTGCAGAACATTTCCAATATCTTAGCCTCCTCAGGATGCTCCCAAGCAGTATCTTGCCACCCAGAGATCAACATTATTCTGACTTTCATCCCCATAAATTAATTTTGCCTATTCTTGAACATCACTTAGGTTGAACTACACAGTATGTACTCTTTTGTATCTGGCTTTTCTCAACATAGTATCTCTGAAATTCATCCATGTTTTTGCAAAGTAATGAGTCTTTCTTTTTTATTCTTCTGTAGTACTTTACTGTATGGGTCTACCTCACTTTTATTCTCTTATACCAAAAGAAGTTTAGAAGCACTAGGGTTTCCCAATACTGAAGACAGAAAACAGACATAGAACCAGAAAACCCATGGTTCTCACATTATATAATCCCAAAGTTAAATCAAAGGCAGATTATAATTAACTACATACTTATCACAGTCTATCAGTATTTGCAAAATCTACACTCCCATTCTAAAAAAGAACTGGATGCATATATATAGTTTCAAAGATGGTACTGTGATGCTCTAAACTTACAGTCAGAGACAGATTTAATTCCACTGGTCACTTTGGTGTGACAGAGACACATACATTTAAAAGAGTTGGACCATAAAATTAGAAAACCAATTCCAACTACTCAGACTTCACTAGGTTCTTGCAAACCACTCTGAACAATGTAAATTCTTCATGATATTTTGCCCTAACTGTAAATAATGTAAATAATAATAGTAATATTCTCTTAAAGCTTAGAACCTGTTATACATATTAAAACTGAAAATTACATTGATTTTTTAAATTACATTTGTGTTTTTTTTATCTTTAATCTTAATAGATCATTTGAAAACTTTGTAGATTATTGTTTAGAAGCTGTCAACTCAGGAAGCTTTGATGTGGCACTGTGCTATATAAAAACCCAAATGTCTAACCAGCACATGACCATGGGAAACACATCTCCTACTGCAAAACAGGAGACAAAGAACTTCCATAAAATCAGTTTAGTTTTGGCCAGCTGGTTATTGTCAACTATTCAAGAAAATGTCAGAGAGGCCCTCCCTTAAAACTTCCTTCCCAGCAGGAATTCTTTTGACAATGACTTCTGTTTAGGATCTTCCTGTTACCATTATTTTTTTTTTAATCATCATTAAAGTAAAAACTTGTTTGTGTTTATATTTTTTGAAGTAATCTTACCTCACATTAGTTTAATATATCACACTTGCAATTTCAAGAATTAACTTTTTGATGTCATTTTCTCTAAGTGGTAACATGCATACGACAGAGATCAAAAACCAAAATTGGATTTCAGAGTGAAGGCCATTTCCAGATGCTTTTTATCCTAAGGAAACCCACTTGCTTCTTGTTGTATGACATTATTTTGTTTTTGTTAATGTACTTTTCATGTTTACAGTTTTATTTTAATTCAGTGAAGTATAAAACTGTCTTGATCTTTGCAAGTATATGTATATGTGTATATATATATATACATATATATATATATTAACCTTTAAAGGGAAGGAGGATGTTATTGATTTGACCAAAACAGGTGTTTATTAATTGATATATTTTCCATTCAGCTTCCTGCAAGGGTTAATTAAGGATTTAGATGATTTTAAGAGACACATAGTAATCACAACTCTTCTTAATTGTATCCTTTTCCTCACAGGGGACCATTTGCCTAAATCTTTGGAAGGATTTTTTATCTATGAAGAAGAAGGTTCTGGAGTTCCAGGTTCCAGTAGGAAAGGAAATGATGCCATTGTAGTAGAACAATGGACTGTTATTGAGGTAAACTAGTGTTTTCTGACAATTTTGCTTTACTTTCATATTTAGTTTTACATGTTAAAGATCTTCATTGCCTATACACATGCAGTATCCTTCAAACCCATTTGTGTCAGAAGTTCATCATAAATGCATGAACAAACTTCTTGCAGATGTGCAGAAAGGTGATTTGCTTTACCCAATGTTCAACTTTATTAGAAGGTGGCAAATAATTCTCTTATACATAAAGAGCAGTAGATTCCCAAAGATTTGGCATTCTAATCTTAAAGACCCCTGGCACCAAATTTCCTTTATACAATGCCATGACAACTAGTTGAAAGTGAAAAAAAGTCAGTCAATAACTAGTGTTTACCTCCAAACAACCAATGTGACTGACTTTTTTTTACCTGTGAGTTGATTTTCAAAGGCAAAAATATCCAAAAGGTGTTCTCTCTCTCGCCAGGCCACACATGCGCACACAGCATTGTCCGTCCTAGTCAGAGATGACATTGCTGCTGGTGTTGTGCGCTCTGAATTCAGATGTCACCAAGCGGACTGCCCTGAGGTGTACACACTGAATTCAGGTATATTGCGTTGTGTGTATGAGGCCCTCACTGACAGGCTCTCTCACGGACACTCTTGCCCTTCTGGCCTTACAGAGGCTAAAGAGACATAGCCCATTTTGAAAGAGCCTAGAAGTCCCATGGAGGGGGAGAACAGGACTTGGGTGGGGGAGGTAAAGCTTCCAGCAAAAGTCTATTCCAAATGCATAAAAGGAGTGAAGAGACCTCTCGCCTTTCGCTCTCCAGTCCTCACTCCCCACTCTTGTCCTCACTTCCTAATCCCTGGACTGGTGTTTCTGAAATGGTGGTCTCCAAACTACCTGGGTCTGTATCATCTAGGGAGCTTTTGAAAAACAGATTCCCTGGACCCCCATACATTAACGTTTGATGCCTGAACAAGTCCAAGAAAACAAGACCCAGACTTTGGAGAACCAGATAGAAACCTCTCTCCACTCTGATCCCCAGTGATTCTGACTTGGCTCAATGCTTAGAAAGCAGCAGATAGCAGAAAATGAAGGCCAGAAAGCCTGCAGCCTAGGGAAATTGTGCTCAATGGAGCATGAACTGCCATTGTTGCAGCAGCCGTCCTCCTTTATTGTGATCCCTCGTATAGCTGGTGGTCTTTGCCGTGAGACTTGGAGCTCTTATGCTTCTTCACGCAGGGCTGTGAAATCAGAACGGATTATGGACCTCTGCTGCACACTCTGGCTGAGTTCGGATGGCTCCTGACAAGCGTGTTGCCTACACCTGTACTGAGACATGACAGGTAATGCCAAAGTATCCTTATATACTCTCACTGGATTCTAAAATACTTTGTTTGTTAGATAATTCAATTTAACAAATAATTATTCAGTGCCTATAAAAAGCATTTTGCTGAACTTCTAATCTGATTTCATGGACCTTGGAGATCAAAAAATCCAATCCCTTCGAGTTATATAGATGTGTAGCTATTATGTCTCCTTCCCAAGGGCATGCGAGTTCACGATGGCAGAGCCAGAGCGGGGCACCAGAGACTGCTCGCAGCTCAGTGCTGCTCCCAGTGCTCTGAATGCTGCCTTTCCACCTGAAGATTGCATCATTACACCTTCTTTTTTTCCAACTCAAGCAGCCAGTTCTTCCCTAGAGTGAAGACTGAGTGGATAGAAGCCTGCAAACAAAGAAGCACAGCTCCCCCATGGGGCTCCTGTCCTACTCTTCTGCACTGCATGGGCAAAACTGGCCCGCCCCAGCTCACGGGCAGGGAGGGGGCTGGCGGGGGCCTAGAGAGGACCGGGCCAGGCGCTCCTGCCCCCGCCCTTCTCCTCCAGTGTGTGGGTTACTTTTCCCCTCAAGCATGGACTTAGCTGTTTCCACTAAAACAAATGCCTATATTAGAATCAAAATGCCAACACTTCACAAATAACAACCTTTTCTTTTTGCCTTTTACTAACTTTTTCCCATTTCTTTTCTGAGAACAGAAAATTTGAGTTGTATTTTTTTTTAGAGAGAGAGAAACCAATTAAGTCTTCTCTATAAAGTGCTTTGCTATTCCTTGGACTCAGAGATGTTCCCTCTGCCCTCTTTGGCATCCAGAAAATGACTGCCGAGGCTGTCCTACCTGGGCCGGTGGCTGCCTGTAGAGGACTGCCCGGTACCACCTGGGCCTTCCCTTTCAGCAGGGTCAGCCACATCTCACCAGCCCGGAGTGACTGTCAGGTGTAGCTAAGGAGCACAGCACCTCAGCCTCAGCCTCAGCCACCCTCCTCACCCTCCCCGGGATTACCAGCCAATAAAAGTAACAGAAATAATTAGTAACAGTATAAAAGTTATATGCTTATGTGTATGCTCACACCCACGAACATGAATTTCTGCCACAACCTTTCTTCTGGGAAAACATACCATTGCCAGTGAAAACTTTCTTCCTTAAATATTTTTCTCTTGTATGTAACAGTAGTGTCTTAAGCAATTTCAGTTGTCTCCCACTCTTCTATTACCTAAGCCATAACTTGAATGGTCTGTACCTGAGGTATTCTCCCTCATTTCTTTCATTACTCAAATGTCTCCTGCTATTGAATTGCATAAAGCTATTTTCCCAGTCTGTCCTTAGGTTAAAGTTATTTCTTCACTATCCAAGGCAATATCGTACCACCAAGGTTAAAAGCTGCATTACCCTGGAAACATGATGATGCGGTAAACTGATGCCACTACATTATTCCAGGGTTATTATTGTCAGCCCTGAAAACTTGCCAGAACTCCTTCTTAATCGTTATTACTATATAATTAAACAAATAGGCCCAATCCTTTTCTTCTGAAGACACCAAGATAAAATTGGCATTAAGCTCTTCAAGGCAAATCTGGTAGATGATCAAATTAGATGAACCAGCAGGCTAATATTGTTGACCTTAAAGTAGTGACCAGAATTAAATGGAAGGAGGAGCTAAAATCCCCTCTTTTTGGCTACCTCATAATGGCAGGGTCACTCCCGTCTCTCTGAATGATAACCCTGGTGGAAGGGCAGCACCAGGAATATGCATTTTAACAAGAATCCAAGGTAAGTCTGATACACTTTCAGAGACACAAAATTAAAACCTTCAATTGAGAGGCTGAGAGAAAGAATTTTAGAACACAAGATAGAAGAAAAGTGTTTACCCCCATTTATATTTCAGAAGACAGAACTTAAAGGTCAAAGCTTTTTGGTACCATGAATCGAGTTATACTATTCTGAGAATATAAAAAGGTTGGTCCTTAAGCACAAGATAAGAATAACATGAAGAGAAAACTGTCTCTCACTGTGATGACAGGCAGCTCCCCTTTTCCATTTTCTGCCGCGCCTGCAACAAAGCCTCCACAGTCTGGTGGGGACCCCAGCCGGAAGCACTGAATGACTGGGTAGTCATTTGAGAGCCTTAGATACACTGACAATTTCCTCTAAATCCTCAACTGGCAGCAGCCAAAGCAGGGATTACATATTTATATACAGTGGGGGGAGAGGCTAGGGTTTCATGTTCAGTCCATTTTAATGCAGTTCTCTTCCCCTTCTAGTTTAAACTCTGCAGAAACATTATTGAGGAATTCCATTGTGAGCTAAGCTCTTAGTACTCATGCAGAGAACAGCATTTTGATAAAGCCACTTTTTAAAAATAAAAGTCAGTTTGTCTATCATATAAACTTTCAGTTATCACTCTTCCTCATTGAAACTTAAGTGTTCACATTTTATCAGGTGAGAAAATCTGGAGAGTTAAATCATGGGAGTGCCCTTTTTTTGTTTTTAAGATTGTAAGTCAAAGGAACTTTGTGAATAACTGACAGCTGCAAAGGTGCCAGCTAAAATGTAATTTTATCATTTCACCTTCAGAAAGCAAATTTTTATTTCCTATTTTAAATGCCAGAATTTACTCATTGATTTCTGAGGAGCAAACAATAAACCATGGCAATTAATTAATGTACATAATAATTCAGGCTACTAATATTATATTTATGTATTCTTTAACTTGTTGCTTCTTTCACTTAACATAATAAGATTTATGGGTGTTGTTGCGCGCAGCAATTTAGTTATCCCCTCCGCTGCTGGCTGCTAGGTTGCCTCCAGGTGTTGGCTCTGACAAGCAAGCTGTTCAGAAACTAAGCAAGGATCCTAGGAGACACTGTGTGGATTCCTGAAGGCTATAGACCCAGAGAAATGCCAAGTTACAGGGCATTTCTTTAGCTTTATTAGACAAATACCACTCTTTCCAAGTAGAATGATGCAGTTTACCCTATTAACAGCAAAATATGAGAGTTCCTCTTGCTCCAACAAAAAATATTGTCAGACTTTGCCATTCTGGTAAGTGCGTATATAGTACGGTTTTAGTTCGTATATAGCTAATTACTACTGCAATGGGGCACGTTTCCCTATGTTTATTGGCATTTTGTATTTTTCTTTTGGGTGAAGTATTTATCTATTTAAATCTTTCATCTATATTTGAAAACTGTATTTATAAGATTCAATTTTTATATATACTGAATATGAGTCCTTTATTAGTTACATGTGTTGCAATTATCTTCCCTAATTCTGTGGCTTTTTTACTCTCTTTATGATGTCTTTTGATTAACATAAGTTTTAAATTTTTAAATAGGCAAATGTATTAATCTTTACCCTTTTTGGTGCATCATTTAAGAAACCTTTTCCTTTACTTAAGCAACTGGGGGAGCGGTGGTGTGAATTATTTTTAAGTTTGGGTATAACATGAGATGTTTTAATATTTGAAGTTCACATAAAGTTCTCTAAGCTATAGCCTGAAGAATGAGTTCATGAGGGGGAAAAGGAACAGTTCAAGCTTAAAAGATTAATACTAAATGTCAGTGAATTTCATAGATGTAAAAGGACCTAGGAAGCTTTTTATCTCTCTAATAAGCCTCTGCTCACTTAGGATTTTTTTACGTGTGTTTTCTGGCCTCAATACATTTTCACAGAAACCAAATGACCGATTATTCATAAAGTCTTTAATTCTCCCAATATTTACTGGGCATCATTTTAAAAGGAGGCTTTCTGCTAATTAATGTGGAAGATGCAGAGCTAGGAGATGAGCTGCTCAGGAAGCTAAGACCTGGCGGGGGGAATCGTGTGTACAGCAACTATATGACCTGGTAGTGGAATTGAGTGCCGACCCAGGGATCCATAGGCACCCTGAAAAGGGGGTGTTTCTCTTCAATTGAGGATCATTGAAGGTCCTGAAGCAGGTCACCTTACAATGAATTTCAAAAGATGGACAGGCTGTGAAGAGGCAGGGACGGTGGCATAGGCATTCCTGGTGGGAGAATGCCACAAGCAGGAATTCAGAGACCTGCCTTGAGCAAGTGGGTAGAGGGAACGATTGCCATAGCAAAACCAAACTTGACCTTGCTTTTTTTATTTCAAAGAATATAGAAAAACTGTTCACCAACTCGTAAATTTAAGTACTACAGCTCTGTTCCAAAAATACTTCAAATCATAAATATTGGACCAAGGAGAAGTTCATGCTGTCCTCACAACTTCCTGCAAAAATCATTTAAAATTTAAGTATCACTAAAGATATTATCAACTATAACAGAACAGCTTTCTGCTTCTGTTTTTATTGCCTGTTTGTTTTTACAATTAGTGCTTATGCAAAATTGAATTCACAGGCAGGATTCCTTTAAGGCAGAGCTTTCAATGATTCATCTTTTATGTGGCACTTAAAAAGGAAAGACTAGTGGCTGTTTGCACATCTTCTTTGCAGATTACTCCCTTGACCAGTGAATACTCTTGACCAACATAGGTTGCACCAGAACGTTTTCATAGCTTATGTGTAAATCAAGCATTTTTCAATAGCTGTGTTCACTTTCTATCATGTCAAAGCATAACTGCACATTAATAATAGTTTGAAAGAGAATCTGAAGGCTCTTAAATCCCTCTCAGGAAGATGCGAAGTTACTCGGTTACCTAATAGCACTTTCCAGATGGAAATTTCTGTAGGACTAGGAGAGCTGAGGGCATCTGAGAGCATCCAGGGCATTTGAAGCACGCTGGTGGCATGAAGACCTCACCGGTCCGATCCTTTCAGAAATCTGTGCTACAGGCAGATATTCTATCCCAGCTCATACATAGAATCACCTCAGGAGCACTGGACACTGTGAAAGGATGCGTATGCCCTGCCACACGGTGTCCCTCTGTAAGGCTTCAGACCTCTTTCTCTTACTTCTACTGTGATTAAATACTCTAAACCAAAAGGAGTTCTGCATCACACTGAGGTTCTGAAAACTGCAGGACCTATTTTAAATCAGAATGGCCCTCAGAAAACTAGGGATGTAGAGGCTCCAGACATATTTCAAACTGAGGATCTGGCTCTAAGGACCTCCCAGGAGATGGGGTGATGCTAACCTTCCAATCTCATCTGGGCACCCAGGAATGTCCTAAGACAGTCAGCCTTTGAGATATCGTCTCCTCACTTGCTGTTTTACCCCAGAGGGAAAGTTGAAAAACTGCATTAGGCATAAGCACCCAGCACATCCTAGTGTTTCAGACTTGCCTCTTCCTATGATTGGTTGGAAAGAATTCACATTAGACTCCCTACCTTGTTATTCTCCTGATTTCTACTTTCTATTCAAGAAGAATAATTCTACTTTGATCCTTCCTTCTCATCTTTGGATAGTTCTAAGCCTGCTTCCCTCATGTGATTCTTACCAGATCACATACCTTAAACATCACCCAGAAATCTCTTCCCCATTCTCATGCATCCTCTCCCTTGACTTTTCTGTCTGGAAGGTATTCTTGATTCTGAGACATTTCCCTCCACTAAACTCCACCCCACATCTCATTAAATGAATGGAGGAGTGGAAGGAAATCACATTTGTTGTGCTCCCTCAAGGGGCAGGCACAGGGGAGGCTCTTCATACACATTGACTTATTTATCTGTCACAAAATCCCTGATGAGAAATCAAAGTCAGAGAATTCAACAGTTTACGAAAGTCCTCAGCTATCATTAGCTATTATGGTAGAGTCAGGATTTGAACCCAGGAACAATCTCGTTCCAAAACCACTGCCTTTTCTAGTATACTCCACGCCTCCAAAACACAGACCAGCCTATTCTGTACACTTCAAGTCCCTTATCTGTATGCCTGCATCATAACTGACATCTTCTGATGATTTAAGTTGTTCCCAAACGTTACAATATATTTCACACCAAGTCTTTCCTTCTAATTGAATGTAAGGTCAAACTAAAATGATATTAGACTAGAAGCAGTCTTTTTAAAATAAAAATAAAAAAGAAGCAGCCTCTACCACTTTGGGAGAAGATTTGCTGTTTTTCAAAATTCAAGAGTGTCAGTAAGTTTGGGATTTTCAAGTGACGTGGGGTTGACATACACTGCTAGGGCCAGAATCTCAATGTTGCATTTGTTTTCCAGAAAAAGAGCTCAACATAAAATGCCCCTAATAGGTTTTGTTGGGGCTTTTTGCATAATAAAAGTCGTAACTGAGCAACATTAGCTACAGACACTCCTCCCCATAAATCCATGGAGACTGTGAAAAGCATTTCAGAGAAATACAAACCCCAAATAGTCTTTGGCAAGGGGTAATTTGCCATGATGATAGTTAAATAAGGAGAATACTGAGTAGCTGACTACAAAGAAGCATCTGAAAATAAAAATAGCTGTGGCTCAAGTCCCTCAATTGAAAATGTATATAAGGTTCCTCACATGTGGCAGCTCACACTGGTCTCTATTTTTATAAGGCAAATTTGACAATTCATGCCAAGAAGCTTAAATCATATCCCTTTGACCTAATAACCCAACACCTGAGAATTTATCTTACGGAAATCTCATGAGAATAAGGAAGACTATACATATTTCTATACAACTATTATTTATAATTAGCAGAAAACTGGAAACAAATTTTTCAGTAGTTAAGGAAAGACTTAGTACATGTTGCTATCTTAACTCTTTGAGATGCTGTGCAGGTCTTAAGAATATGATTATAGTGTATAAACAAGGAAAGGGCATTCAACGAAAAGCATGGAACACAGAAATACAAATATGCAGTGGTAAAGGCATGCAGAAATACATACTATTTAAAAAATTTTTAACTGAAGTGTAGTTGATAGGTCGCCAGGTCCTTGGTCTTTTGCAAGAAAAATTCAAGACAAACTCAGAAAAGGCCCTAAGCATTAAGTTTATTTGGAGAATTAGAGTTTGAAGAAAGGAGACAGTATGCGCCTGACAGTTGGGGTACAGGCAGATCCAGAGGGGGTTGAGCAGGAAACAATAGGGAATCTTTCTTATGTAAAAGAGATGAATATAGGTTTCAAAGTGAACAGGTGGAGTCTTCCTTGAGTTGCCGGTCGCCCCACCCTCAGGTCAGTTGGAGGGATTTTTGACTACTTTTGATTCCCATCAGAACTGTTGGCACAGGTAGGTGTGATTTTTTTGCTATACTAATGACGGAAGAGTGTGAATTTTACTGTTAATGAGTGTATAATGTATTTTGAGATGAAGTCAGGGTCAGCTTCTCCTCCCAGTTGGAACCAGCCAGTTTTGGCCTATTATCCCTACCCTCACTCCCCAGCCCCTCAGCCCGTGGGAACAGCTTGCCTGGATGTGTAGACTGTAAGCAAGTATCCCTCTGAAATCCCCCTCCCTCTCCCTGCTTATGTCTAGCTATCTACCTACTCTAAAAGATATACAATATTATACTGGTTCCAGGTGTACAACATAGTGAGTAGACAATTATATACATTACACAATGCTCACCATGATAGGTGTGGTCACCATCTGTCACCATGCAAAGTTATTATAATATTATTGACTATATTCCCTATGCTGTACTTTTCATTCCCATGACTTAATTAATGATTGGAAGTTTGTACCTCTTTATTCCTTTCATTTCTTTTTCCCATTCTCCTACCCCCTATGTCCATGGTAATCTCCAGTTTTCTCTGTACTTATGAGTCTATTTCTGTTTGTTTATTAATTTGTTTTATTTTTTTAGATCCCACATATAAGTGAAATCATTTGGTATTTGATTTTTTTCTGTGTGACTTATTTCACTTAACATAATACCCTCTAGGTTGTTGCAAATGGCAGGATTTCATTCTTTTTTATGGTTGAGCAATATTCCATTGAATAGATGTACCACCTCTTCTTTATCCATTCATCTATTGATGGACACTTGGGTTGCTTCCATATTTTCACTATTATAAATAATGCTGCAATGAATATAGGAGTGCATATATCTTTTCAAATTAGTGTTTTTTGTGTGTTCTTCAGGCAATTACCCAGAAGTGGAATTGCTGGGTCACATGGTATTTCTATTTTTAATTTTTTGAGTAAATTCCATACTGGTTTACATAGTGACACACCAATTTACATTCCCACCAATAGTGTGCAAGGGTTCCCTTTTCTCCACATCCTCACCAACACTTATTTCTTGTCTTTTTTATATTAGCCATTCTGACTGGCATGAGTAGATACCTCACTGTGGTTTTGATTTGCATTTCCCTGATAATCAGTGACGTGGAGAATCTTTTCATGTGCCTGTTGGCCATCTGTATGTTTTCTTTGGAAAAATGTCTATCAGGTTCTTTGCTCTGATTTTTAATCAGATTATTTGTTTTTTTGGTGTTGAGTTTTATGAGTTCTATATATATTGTGGATATTAGCTCCTTACTAGATAAATCCTTTGCAGATATATTCTCCCATTCAGTAGGTTGCCTTTTTGTTTTATTGATAGTTTCCTTTGCTGTGCAGAAGCTTTTTGGTTTGATATAGTCCCACTTACTTATTTCTGCTTTTGCTTCCCTTGCCTGGGAGATATATCCAGAAAAATTTGCTCAGTTTGATGTCCAAGAGTTTTCTATGTTTTCTTTTAGGAGTTTTATAGCTTCAAGTCTTATATTTAGGTCTTTAATCCATTTTGAGTTTACTTCTGTATATGGTATTAAGAAAGTTGTCCAGTTTCATTCTTTTGCATCTAGCTGCCAGTTTTTCCAGCACCATTTGTTGAAGAAACTGTCTTTTTCCCATTGTTTATTCTTGCCTCCCTTGTCATTTATTGACTATATAAACATAGGTTTATTTCTGGGCTCTCTGTTCTGTTCTGTTGATCTATATGTCTGTTTTTGTGCCAGCACCATATCGTTTTGGTAACTGTCGCTTTTTAATGTAGTTTGAAATCAGGGGGCATGCTATCCCCAGCTTTGTTCTTCTTTCTCAAGATATCTTCGGCTCTTCAGGATCTTTTGTGGTTCCATACAAATTTTAGGATTATTTGTTCTAATTCTGTGAAAAATACTATTGGTATTTTGAGAGGGATTGCATTGAATCTGTAGATTGCTTTTCTTAGTATGGATATTTTGATAATATTAATTCTTCCAATCTATGAGCATAGAATATCTTTTCATTTCTTTATGCCATCATCAATTTATTTGATCAGTGTCTTATAGTTTTCAGAATAGAGTTTTTTTACCTCCTTAGTTAAATTTACTCCTGGGTATTTTATTCTTTGTGAGACAATTGTAAATGGAATCATTTTCCTAATTTCTATTTCTGCTAGCTCATTATTGTATAGAAACACAACACATTTCTGTAGAGAAAGTACACATGTTGATAAAGACTAAGAGGGAACACAGGAGATGAAAATAGTTATGTTAGCACAGTGAGATTGCAAAGTTTAAACACTAAAAAATTTTTTGTAATGATAATATTCAGTTTTTAGGAATTTTTGTATTGTTTTTCAAGCTGCAAGTTACATAGAATATTTCATAATTATTTTGGATCAGATGATTATTTTACAAAGAATACATGTGGAATATTCTAGCCCAGTGTAAAATATAGAGAATTACTAATTCACAAATACTAATACTATTGTTTTAATTTGCAGTGAAGGGAATTTGACTACAAAGCAAGTTGTGTTTCTTCAGAGACCAGTTATGTGGAATTCAGTTGCTCAAACACCAAAAGTGAGTAAAATTGATGCTTGGTGAACTAAATGTTATAGTGAAGTATTTGATCCTTCAACTCTCATTGTAATTCTAAATGTTGACTACAGATGAGGAAGGTGTGTACTTGATATGGAAACAGTCTTTTGAGCCAATATATAACAAGGGAAAGGTGCCAGAAACCAGGAAATATGAGACTTCTGAAGGGGATCAGAATATGCTACCCCAATATTGATATTTTGCTTTGGTGCAAAGATTATTTTGAGATGAAGGCAATTAAGAAACTTAGACACAAAAGGAACTCTCTACTCTCTCCTTTCTGATGAAACACAAGGCATAAATTTCTCTTTTTAAAATGACATCAATTTCTATTTATAGTTGTCTCCCTCTTTTGTACCAGAAGAGAAGACTCTTAATCACCAGAGATGATTCTTGTCACTGGAAATGGTATTGACTTGAGTCTACACAAGCAAACCTTACTACAATAACCCTTATCTTCCATTAGTTTCCCCACATACTTACCTTCTAGCAATTTACCTCCTATAGAAGGCCAAACTTCTTTTCCTTTGTGCAGTTATTTTCCCATAATTTATTGCCCTTTGTTAAAATGATATATAAGCTCACAGGCCTCACTGCCCTTTCAGTTTTCACTTTTTCTCCATGAAGCCCCCATGTGATTCTAAAATAAATCATTTTTACTGTTAATCTGTCTTTTGTCAGTTTAATTTGCAAGCCCTAGGTACTGAATATAAAAGGGTAGAGGAAAAAGTCTTTCTTCCCCTACAGTTATGTCTTATAAGTGAATGTGCCTAATACTGCAACAGATCTGTACAATATTGTCTATCTTGACCTCTGACAGCTTTTACATTACCTCCTCAAGTTCATATTTTTTTCAGCCCTTTGCTAAAGGGCTATGCTGAGTCTCAAGTCACCTTATCCATACTGGATGCACATCTAGAAGACTATCACTGAATGAAGCAGTGTTAATAAAGGATAATTTTCAAAACAGAAAATTTGTGAATGGGCTGGAAAATTATTTAAAGTAACTTTTCCTGTATATCTAGAAAATACTGTTTTAGAAAACTTTCAAAAGTTCTAGACTAGCAAAGCTAGACTGCTAGTATGTATAATAACACCATGCCAAGTTGCTTTGCTTTAATTTTGAAAAGAGTCTAGCTGGCTTGACAGCTAAGTAGGTAGAGAGGTTAAAAGGTGAATAGGAGGATACTTCCCCATAGCAGAAGAGCAGCCTGATAAAGTCTGTAGATATTAGAAAGACTGTGACAGAACAGTGCTCCCTAATCCCACCCAGTGAGTTGACTCAAGTTCACCAGCTCATTGGAAAATATTCTGTCAAAAGAAGCAAGGATGAGTAATATGTAGATAATATGCAGAAAAGGTTTGCATTCTTTCTTCTTCGCCAGAGCAACTTCTCACTATGCTACAGTCTTTTCTTTCTTTCCTTTTTTCAAAAACATTCTGTAAATGTCCACCATTTCTGAGGAAAGATCAACAGAATTCACAGCCATGTGGAATTTTGATTTATTGAGGGCCATGGAATTGGTGTTTGTGAAGATAAAAGACCCAAATTCAACTGCTTCACAGTCTCTTTTATTTAGGATTAGATATCAGTTCTCTGACTCCCTGAAAATATTTTGGCCCTTTTTGTTTAATTTTAAATATGATTCAGACTAGTGATTTTAAATATGATTCAGAAAGTCTAGTGGTAGCTTTTCTTTGTGTGATCTTTATATTTACATCCATTGTAATATAAAATTATTGGCTCATTTGTGTAATAGTAAGAAAGTATATAAATAGGTTGCATCAATGAGAAGCTCAGGAATAATATATATTATAACTTAGATTTCTGCTTCTAAATGAATTTACTGTTTCTCCCTTTGGCAAGTGTTTAACTTTCCAAGCAGGAAATTTCTCAGGATATTGAAATTATTTCAGGGCAGAACATGTAGGTGGTTCAGTCTGGAGCTAAAGTATCTAACAGTTATTACAGAAAACCAATTTGTAAATTCTTTTGGTTTTCTCTAGTGGAAACAATTTGTTATTCAATCTCAAAAAAAGTAGTAGTGTTAATGAGAAACTAGCTATTAATATTACCATAGAGTTAATTTAGCTGTCTCATATGTATTTTGTGAAAGTTATCTTTATAATATGAACTTGGAAAAAAATGTATGTAGTTATCAGTCCATAATGGCACTGTTCTTGCTTCTACCTTGAAATCAGTTGTTGTTTGGAAGGGGCTGATGGGGGGATTGTTACATTTATAAAATTTTTCAAAGAACTTTTTCAAGGGTATTTAGTTCTAAAATGTGAGACATTAAAAGGGTTGCCCTAGAATTGTCAATGAGTTTTCATTAAGATCATCAATTTCATGGGCTGGTAGAAACTAATCCAGAGTTTAACCCTTGAAGAAAGTTTCTTTCTTCTACTAATGTCAGTATTTATAAGACTCTGTATTCAACTGCACTCAACAGTTCTTTTATTTTGAACAAATCTATTTCATGCCCCTGTTGAAGGGGAGGGGAATGAGAATTGAATAATGAAAAAAATACATTGTTGGGACTTTTTTTCTTCTGAATTATCAAGACCTTTACCTTGGGAATTTGTTTTGTTTCACAAATGGGTCTTATGCAATAGTCTAGATAGCTTGAGAATTTTTTTCAACATGGAAAAATGTCAATTCAAAATATTCATGCTCACATTTACTGCTCTACTTTTCTTTAAACTACTGAAAAATAGTTTGTTTTAGTAAAACTAGAAAAGTTTTCTGAAAAAAATAGGTAAAATTCTTCATGAACTGGGGCTAGATAAAGAGTTCTTAGACACAACACCAAAAGCATAACCATGAATAAAAGTGATGTTTGACTTCATCAAAATTAAAACTTTTGCTCTGAGAATAACAATAAGAAAATGAAAAGACAAGCCACAGACTGGGAGAAAAAATCCTGTAAATCACATATATGACAAAGGACTTACATCCAGAATGTATCAAGAACTCTCGAAACAACAATAAGAAATTAAACAACCCAGTTAAAAAATAGTTAAAAGACTTGGATTAACTCATTAATGAGGATATATGTAGATGAGGAATAAGCACATAAAAAGATGCTGAAATCATCACTAGGGAAATGTAAATGTAAACCATGAGATACTACCACACATCTATTAGACTAAACTTTAAAATATTGATAATACCAAGAACAATCAGAATCCTCAAATACTGTTGGTGGGAATGCAAAATGGTACAACTCTGGACACAGTAAAACAGCTTCTTATGAGATTAACCATATCACCATATGACCCAGCAGTCTCACTGTTGGGTATTCACCCTAGAGAAATATAAGCTTGCATTCACACAAAAACCTATGCATAAATGTTTATAGCAGTTCTATTCATGATCTCCAAAAACTGAAACAATCCAAATGTCCTCAATTGGTGAACAGATAAACAACCATGGTATATCCATACAAAAAAATCACCAGAAATAAAAAGGGATAAACTATTGATATGCACAACTTGGATTAATCTAAAAAGCATGCTGATTAAAAGAACCCGGTCTAAAAGGTCACAGACTTGCATTTAGATGACATTCTCAGAAAGACAAAGTTGTAGTGTGGAGAACATCAGTGGTTGCCAGAGATCAGGTGTAGGGGAGGGTATGAGGAAGGGACAGCACCGGGGGCAGGGGTGGGTTAGAGGGAATAATGGACTGTTCTGTGTCCTGATTATGGTTACACTGATCAAAACATACACCAAAATGTATAGAATTACATATACTTCTACTGTATAATAATTTAAATTTTAAATTTATCATACTGTTTGATTTATAGACCACATACATGACATTTTTTTTATGTCTTTGTCCTTCAGCCTTTGGTTAATGGTTAATGTCCTTGGGTAATGGAATTCTAATGACGCATAAGGAGGCTGTTACCCTCCCTCTTCTCACCATGAGGCTATATAGTGTAATAAATCAAGGTTCTTTTTATCTTACTGTTCCTTTTATCTATTTTCATTTTTTTTATTTTGGGGGGAAGCCTCTAAGCTGATTCAAGGAAGAGGTAGTTATGCTGAGCAGAGTGAGAGACTCTGACCAGGATTTTACCTCCATCTTTTAAATGTTCTCAATTTTTCTCCCAAGATCTCCTTTTTTAATTTTTTTTCTTTTAAAGACTCAAAGGAAACCCACCAGATTTTTTTACTGCATAAAAATCTCTATTTCAGTTAAATTCTTCAGCCAATTTCCCTTCGATAATTATTTAAAAGAAACAAAGGTCATTTACAAGTATTCAGTTTCCACTAAGTCAGAGTAGTTTCCATCTAGTGGTGTTCTTAGCAGTAGACAATAAACCATGAAAGGTTTATTCCAGGGTGTGTGTGTGCATGTGTGTGCACACATGCACAGTGTCTGCCACTCTCCAAGCCTCTGTGTCCTCATCTGTAAAATATGGACAACATTAATCTCTACCCCAGGGTAATGAGGAGGATTAAGTTAGAAAATAGGAAGAGGGTGCAGTACGGTGCCTGACCACGTGAAATGGTTTTGTTTTCATAGGAATGCTTTTCTTTCCATACGAGATGATTAACACTGTAACTGTGGAGAAACTGAAGAAAAATCCAGGAACTCCTAACCCTCCAGTTTCTCCAGATAAATATCACCTTCAGTTAGCATATAGGAAAGTAGTGTATTGATATTTTTTGATGTTCAAAAAAATGCTTTACATGACAAAATATTAACAAGTGTTGAGTTAGGTAGTGAGTATGTGATTGTTCATTGTATTATGTAAACTCTCTATATACTTGAAATTTTTCATAATTGGAAAGTTGGGGAAAGTTAAGCTCAAAAGCATTAGTCACCACAATTTTTTTTGTTAGTTATTAGTTGGTAACTAACTAGTTACTAAGAGGCTATACCAGAAAGACCCATATAAAATGATTTAAATACAACAGAAGGATCTCTCTCATGAGAGTCTAAAGATGAGCAGGCATCCTGGGGCGAGAGC